TGGAAAATTTGATTTGGGTCACAACCAAAATCGGTTGGCGACCAAATTCATAGGGGTCAGAACAGATTAACCGTATTTACATTGAACCTTATTGGAAAATTTGATTTGGGTCACAACCAAAATCGGTTGGCGACCAAATTCATAGGGGTCAGAACAGATTAACCGTATTTACATTGAACCTTATTGGAAAATTTGATTTGGGTCACAACCAAAATCGGTTGGCGACCAAATTCATAGGGGTCAGAACAGATTAACCGTATTTACATTGAACCTTATGGCAAAATTTGTTTCGGGTCGCGACCAATTTGGGTCGCGACCAGAGTTGCGGAACGAATTAAGTTTGTGAACCGAGGTACCACTGTACTTGCAACGCTCAAGGACTCCGGAATACAGTCTTATTGTTTTGTTTCTGAATAGGTTAGTTTTTGCACAAAGAAAAAAGAAAAAAAGAAATGGCTTTGGCTCAGAGGAAAAACATGGTTTCCTAAAGTTAGAAAAAGAGGCCTAGACTGCCATGCTAAAATGCTAATATCACCTTTTAAAAAGCTAATAATGAAGCCTAACATTCTAGGTAACAATATGATGCTTGTACTGAAAGTTTATAGTATAAATAACTATATATTTACTGGATGGGATGTAGAACAACAACAACAAAAATATCCTGTTAAATGTTGAGAGGATAAAGCTAGTCGAGACATACTTCCTTTCTGTTTATCAGCTGGTTATATGGGTATAATGTGAAGTTTCATAAATTTCTTTCTGTGGCCAAGTTTTAATGACTTGTATAAAAATTAGGCTGAATGATTTCATGTATGCAGTATCATATGTTTTTGTCGGTTTATTTCTCCTTAGTGGGTTTTTTTTCCTCTTTCCCCTAATACATATTTATGTGTGTAAAATAACAGCAAAAATACAATATACCATATTACCCATAAGTCTGAATAATTTAATAAAAGATTATATTATCTACAAGTCTGGAGAAACTTAACAGACTTAAAAGACTGTGAAAGATCTGTACTGATTGCAGGTTGCATAAAAGGTATAATTTGATTAAACAATAGTATTAACATTAACCTTTAAAGTCTTGAATAGTTAGACCTTAACTATCTCAACAAATTTCTGGTTATTATTTATTTATTATATTGAATTATATAGCTGCCCATCTTGCAGTTGGCAACTCTGGGCAGTGAACATAGGATTAAAATCAACAAAACAACAAATAATAGGGATAGTAATACAACAGTTATATAACGGTGCCTGAGGACAATCTGACCCAGTCCATACAAACATACATCATATTAGAAGAAATCATGTTATGAACTTCTCTAGCCATTATGAAATGCAGGAGAGATCCCTTTGGATGTTCCTCCATATAAGAGAACTATTTTTCTGCTGTATGAGAAATGG